ATTTGAGACAAATAAAAAACAAAATTTCCATTGATTTTTCTGTTCTTTGAAAATCTGAAGAACAACTTTTTTTTAGAGTGTATTTAAATACAGTGTACTATAAATTGATTATTCTATGTTGGTATCATGCAAAAAGGTGTCAAGAAGGAAATTATCAACTAATGACGAAGAAAATATTTTCTGTTTTTTGCTCTTCAGCTTTTTGCATGATACCAACATAGAATAATCAATTTATAGTTATTAAAAAATTAAACTCTGTGAGTACAGTTTAACGTATTTATCGTGTGCAATTTATAGTACACTGTATTTAAATACACTCTAAAAAAAAGTTGTTTTTCAGGTTTTCAAAGAACAGAAAAATCAATGGAAATTTTGTTTTTTATTTGTCTCAAATTCTGTTCTTCAGCTCTCAAGAACTCAAAATTTGTTTTTTCAATTGTTGAAAAACTGATTTTTTTTGTTCTTTGGGAAATGAAAAACAAATTTTGAGTTCTTGAGAGCTGAAGAACAGAATTTGAGTTCCCTAGAATTTGAGTTCTCTATGTAAGAGTTACACCTGAAATATTTCCCAAGATTTTTTATAGCGATTTGTCGTAGAGAGTTTATTCTTTTTTGTTTAGAAGATGAAAAGAAACTACACCGTCTGATCGGCGCCGATTTTTGCATTAGGTCTTAGTTTTTTATCAAACTAATGATTTTCAGAAAATCCGGAAGGAGTTTTCGGGTTTCGGAGGTTGTTGGTTGCCTGGAAAACCAATAAAGGCTTAATTGAAAAATCGGTGCCGGTCACACCATGTAGTTAGGTTTCTAGCTTAAAACAAAACAAATCCGAACTCTCCAGCTTGAAGTATATTAAAAAACCTTGGGAAATACTTCAGGGTCCTTTTTGGAAAACTCCTGAACGGTAAGACCTGGAGACAAAAAAATTATTTCATTCCCGTAACTTATTAAGCCAAACATTTATGGAAAGTTTTCTCAAGATCGGACGTACGGTGTCAAAGATAATTTCTGAGGGGGACCCTTGATCAAGCAACGTTGTTTCATATTCATTATCATTTATTTTTATTCGTTTTTCTACGCCTTTCGCTTTTTTTTACCCTTCGTACATAAAAAAATGGAATAACCAATTCTTCAAAAATTTTGGTAAGTTCTTCCATTTCTTTTCCGTTTTCTTTCTCCCTTGATTGTCTCCTCCTTCGATTTATTATTAACTAAATATCATGTCTTCTGAACTTTTTCTTGATATAAGTCTATTACAAGGTGATATTATGACACATAATGACAACAGATTTAATGAGATTATCGATCAATTGACCAAGTTGGTCAAGATATATTGGATTTAATTAAATTACAAGCTATTCCAAATATTCCATCGCTGTTATTAGTGAATGATATGTTTGAAGTCTTAAAATTGGATTGTGATGATGTCAACGATATTCGTAGCAGAATAACGTTTAAATTATGTGATGGTAAATTTGTTATTAAAGAATGTATCAAAAGTAATTATAATTATTTGATTTAATTATTTAAAAAGGAATGTGATGAACATAGTAAAGCAACACATTCAAAAGATAAACGTTTACAAATACAGACAACATCAACATCGGATAATGCAGAATCCTCTTCATTATCATCCATTGCCACCACATCTTCAAATATCTCAACAACTTTAGCATCACCAACTGAAATATAACATCGTAAATATATAAAAATGACAATTGATGAATGGCATGACAAAAATAAACAAAGTCTGTCATTAGATAATTTGAAATTAGATGAACCTGATAATTACAAATTAGTGATAACTAATACTAATGGTAAATTAAATGCATCTATAACGTGTCAGTGTGGTTCATTGATAAAACTTTTTCGTAATCGTACGTATTTTCAATTATCTAATTTTTATAATCATTTAAAAAGTGATAAATGTACAATGATTAAATCAAAACAACAACAAACATCAAGCGATGATAGGCATAATAACCAAAATAATAATAATAATCAAAATGATACGAATGATAATCAACAACAATAATCCCCAGCAACAAATAGTAATGATAAACAAAATGACGATACAAATTATTTCGAATGAGCAGAAAAATAATAATGATAATGACAGTGATATTGAAATAAAACGTCTTTCCTTATCAATAAGTAAAAGTAGAAAACGACCAACAGCTGTTCCTGTTCAAACACTCTCCTCGCGTCGTAAACGTCGTCAAAGGAGTTAATAAGCAAACTGGTATTTTAATTTCTTGTGTTTTGTTTCAAAAGATTTTAGCTTTTTCTGTTCATAACAGGAAAAGATAAAATCTTTATCTTTATTCTTTTATTTTCATAACAGTTAATTTCTAGAGATGTGAATGTGTTATATTTATTATAGACTTGATTTTTAATACAGTAGACAACATTCATTAAAGATTTTTTTCGTTTGGAAAGTAAGGTAATTAACAGATGTTTAGAAATCGTAGTGTAAACAATGGAGAGGTTCTAGAACGTGAAATATGAACTTGAAGTCATATTTCTAGGGATTTCCGTCTATCATAGAACAATACTCTTGTCATTTCAGAAATCTTTCTATTATTTGATTTTCATTCTATGTGCGTTTAATGATAAAATGGAATATTATCATTTGCCTCTAGTACATGATGACGTTCTGTTATATTCCAATGAAAAGTTTTACAATTTAGTCAATGAATTAGCTGGAGAAGATGGTGCTTTCAATATTAAAAATTCAATCAATACATTCTGTTCAATCTTTATTGCATACGAATAATGTATTAGAATTATTTATTACGATTGTTCCGATTTAACTGAAATAAAGAAAAAAATCATGTTTTATGTTATCAGATAGGACATATATCATCAAATGTGTTGCTGGTTATTAACACAAAAAAAACCTGTTTACCATCTGATCAGCTATCGAGAGTCATAGCAGCAAGCAGAAAAGAATAAACAACGTATGTGTTTGACTGTTTTGTTCTTTCTATGCGGGTGTTTTGTATTTTTTAAAATTAATATAAAATAGAAGTCACTATTGTACAACTGCTATTATTATCGCTTCTTTCAAGATCTTGGATTGTTATCATTCATTAGCGTTGTGCGTAGTATTCCTGAGAAGAAAGTCGATCAACAAATACGAGAGAAGAGAGTTATAGCACTTGTCACTCCGGAATGGACGAAGTGAACCCGAGTGAAAGTTCACTCCGTGGAGTAGTGGAGTATGGTGTTTTCCCCTTGTCAAAAACACATATACGTCTCTTTTCCAGTTTACTCTACTCTGATACTATTTAAACTTTCCTATAAGAGAAATTTTTCTATTTTTCTGTTTAAAGAATAAAGTAAGAAAAGAACAAATTTTATATTTTCATTAAATGTTGATCCTTTATATATTCAAGGAAGAGAGTGCTCACCCTAAACGTATTTCGTATTGTATCGGCTTCGCGACTTCAAATTACATTAATTAGAGAAGACCCTTTTCCATTTTTTATACTAGTTTAAAGTACACGAGTTGTACATGATACTGATCTGTTTTTAGAAAAGTATTCATTTTAGTGTTTGAGATATATGGCTATAAATATCGCTGATTGTCGTTTAACAAAGCAAGTTTTTGCAATGATAAGACAAACCCGAATATTGTTTCGAAATTTAGCTTTTTTTTTTGGATATTGTTCGAAATAATTTAGTAGAAATATAATAACTTTAAAAAAACGACTATATATATATCAGAAAAAGTTTGGAAAGATCGAATTTTCCTGAAAATTCAGTATCTCGAAAAGGTAGCGTGAATTTGACAAAATCTCAGATCGAAAGTCGTTCATTCGAGTTTTCTGAAAATACATTGTCACAGGTTAAAAAAACAGAAAAATGATCATAATTCAGAAAGAAAGACCTATGGAAACAAGTCCTTTTCGGGTTTCTCATATTTCCTCAAGGTCTACTTGAGGGCAAAATATCAGCTCATCGAGGTCGTCACGAAGTTTTTGCAGTTACGGCGATAAATCATTTATCCGACAAAGTAACCTTTTTTATTGCCATAATGTTATTCTCGTGATTTATCGATAAACAATTTCTATCATGATCATGAGCTACTTTATCGAAATAAAGTAATGATCGCCATAACGTATTATGCAAAAACTCCGTGACGGTCTCGATAAAACAAGCACTTATCGCGATAAATGTATCGAACAATGTCCTCATGGGCTAGGTGTCTCAACAAAAGATTGTTTGCAGGAGTAATTGATCGGTTCCACTATTGTCAAGAACATTGTATATATAGAGAAGACGTGTTTAACCATGTATAAATTAATCATGTGCATATAGCACTGATTAAAAAAACGAACACAGAACCGAAAAGAAGAAAAACTAAAAAGATTTATAAAAAACTGGAGAATAGAAAAGAATTTTTCGATTTGGTGTTCACTAGAGAACAAATGGTCCAAATAGAAACCTGAAAAAAAACGAAAACTTTGTTCTTGGAAAAAAAAATCAGCTTTACAAATTTTCAGCAAACGTATATCAGATCTATATTTTCGAAAAATGAAAAAAATATTTTCTATTTTTTTGAAGACTTTGTTTTTTACATTACAGAATATCCGTTACTACGATGACCGATATAAGTCTTGCTTGACTCCTGTTTTGAGGAGAATACTTGAGACTTTTATTGAAGGAAAACAGTTCATTTTTTTGAAAAATAGAATCTAAAGATTTTTTCAAATATCTAATTTAAAATATGATTTACAAACTTATTTTTTATAAAAGATGTGCCAAAGTCTTAGCTATTAATTACTATCTACATTCAAAAAAATTGAAAATTACTTCAAAAAAAAAATGGCATAAGTGCATTATTTTTTACACAGGAATTATCTTTTTATATTGTCGTAATTAACAGTTCTCTTTTCTCAGATCAAGAACAAAGAGAGACTTAAATCTTTAAAAAAGAAGTTCTAATATAAAAGTTCAGTTTACTCATACTGAAAACACCTTTTTGTCCTTTTTTTAGCCCTATTTGATTCTTTTCAATGAATAACGCATTATATTGGCTTATCGTTATAACTATAGTCACATTATTTCTAATTGCATTACTTTATACAAAAAATCCTAGTTCTTCGGTTAATCTTTTTCAAAGAGAAAATACACTCTCTCAAATTGATCTCTATCGAACAGTGGTACATGTACCAGATCATAACAATATAGCATGTCAATACAAAAATAACAAACAATTTTATACATGTTCCGGATATTGTCCCTTGTCGGAAACAAAACGTAAGAAATGTACATGGTTACCGAGAACAATTGATCAAGATATGCTCAATTCTAAAATGCATTGTCAACCCCAAGATGATTCATGTCCAACGTACAATGCATTTGACAAAGATAAACTACCTTTAACACCCGAAGGTAAGATGACAAATGCAAGATCAAAATTAATGGATACATTTAGTTAGTCTTTTACTTTAAATTTAGGCATAAGACATATTCCAAAAGATTTACTCAATAATTTTACGTTATCAGGTCAAATATCGCTCTCTTATTACTATAATTATCGTGGAACAGAACTTAATGCATCAAAATTGTCAGCACAATGGACAGCGGAAATGATTGATAATCTGAGAAAAATGGCGAGAGAACGAAAACCAATTGGATCATATTCAACGGAAACATTGTATCCTGTGATTGATATTTATCTAGATGTAGCGATTAAAAATAAAACAACTGCTGTTATTGGTACAGAAATGCCGTGGATTGAAGCGATACTTTTAGGTAAGTGATTTTAGATCACTACCAAAATCAAATAAAAATTATAACAACAATTTCATCATTTTACATTAAATCTTATTTGTAAATACAACAACTTATTTTTGTTCCTATTTATAGAATATGGTGCTAAATCTGTTCAGACAATCGAATATGCAACTATTGTTTCTCATGTTTCTAACTTAAAAACGATAACTCCTCAGAAATATATTGATTCTCGCTCATTACCTAATTTTGAACTTTACGACAGTATCTGGTGTTATTCAAGTTTGGAACATGATGGTTTGGGTCGATATGGTGATCCGTTGAATCCCTACGGTGATATGCAAACAATGGTGAAATTATCGTGTATGCCAAAACCCGGTGGAGTTCTCGTTTTAGCAATGCCAACATCACATGTTGATTCATTAGAATTTAACTTGCATCGAGTCTACGGACCCATAAGATATCCATTTATCTATAGACATTTTCATCTACTAAAATTGTTCGGAAGATTATCGACAAACTTGGGTGCCTATAACCAGCCAATACTTGTTATGCAAAACAAAATTGGATGTCTATAGAAAATGTGATCAGAGACACGGAATTAAACAATGATTAGAGTAAGAAATTTTCATCCACTAGAAAGATCATCTTTGATAATAATTTCATCTTTTAATTGAGATTTATCCGAAAAACTATATGGAAATGATTTGACTGATGCAGACATATACGTTGAGTCCGCAGTCATTATTATCTATAAAAAATGAAATAACATGCATTAAATATGTACTAACCAAGATGAAAGATCGCCACGTTTCCTAGAATTGAATATATTTATGAATTTGTGCTTCTGATATGACATATCTATTGTTCTTTGAAAATAGAAAAACAGAGCAGCTTCATTTAGACACAAAATCGAATCAAAGGAGCAGTAGTTGATACATCATCTTTCTAGAGTGCCTGAATTGTCGATAAACTTTTGGAATATTTTAAAACATGTAAACAAACAACAATAATTTGCGTCAGTCCACACAAAAAAAATTAATTGTTTCTTTTCCGATTCTGATAAAAATAACAATGATGCTGTTCAAAGGTCACTCAGAAAATAAAATAAAACATCAATTTCACAGATGTTTAGATACGGCATGGAGGGATACACGGTCTTGACTGCTAACTCTCGATACCAAAAACTCTATTGGGTCTTCATGTCAGTCGTGATCACAGGGCCGTAGCCAAAAGGGGGGCGGGGGAAGATTGGAGGACCGGTCCCCCTTACCTTTTGAGAAAATGCTTTTTATCCACTGGATTCCGTCAGAAAAAGTTGCTAGTTGGTAAGACTTCGGACTATCTCTGAAAGCAAAAAAGTCAATCTCCCCCGTCGCAAAAATCCTGGCTACGGGCCTTCGTGATCAGTTCTCTGTGGTATATCGGTACTTAATTTGATCACTCCTAGGACTAGTTCCAAGTTGAAAGAATTGTTTATCTTAACCAGATTAAGTATGACATAAAGACTCGAACGGGCTTGAAGGTTTTGGATATCGAAAATCTCTAAGACCTTCGGGGCTTGGTACACTCCTAGTGGCATATTGTGAAAACTAAAGGAAAAACTATAGAACGCAAAGCCTGAAAAATAGACAATATGATCACAAATATTGTCAGAGCAACAGATAGATACCTTTCTTCTTCTGATCCTTTTAATGTTTCTCATGTTCAAGGCTGTATAAACTCTATTTCAACTGATCTTCTTCAAATCTCATGTGTTTAAATGTTTTTGATTTTCTTTTTCTAGTCTCTTTTCGTTTGTTTATAATCAGTCGTATCTCAATGATGTTCCACTTTGTGTTGTTTCCTCCGTTCGTTGTCTTTGTGTTCTTGCTTCGCACGATCTAAAGTGGAACGAGCATGCTAAGGCCGTTGCTCTTACTTTCCGACAGAAGTTAGGAGCTTTAGATCATGTCTCTGGATTAACTCCACCGGAAGTTCGGCGTCGAATCTATCTTTCTTCTATTCTTTCTAAACTTGTTTATTGTGTCTTGTATAACAGTTCGTTTTCTTTCTCTGTTCTTGACTCTATAAGTAAACTTGATTCTCATGTTATTTCTCGCAATTTTGCTCTTACTTTCCGACGAAAGTTAGGAGCTTTCGTTCACTGAATTTGTACTGCTTTAACTTCTTGGATTAGATTACGAACGTTGCACATCAAATCAAAGAAAAATGTATAACTAAAATGCATAACTTCAGGGAGCGCCATAACGACCATGACATTCCTAGAGTCAAGAGACTAACTATGTTCATATGAACCTTAAAACATCTCTAACGCTCAATACTGATGTGTTCTGCGAGATGGCAGCACTGGTCGTTCACCGCGAAGTTCTTCAATACTATGAATAATACAGATTAAACTTCAAAATAAACTAAATAAGACGATTATATGGAAGTAGTGGAGCTGTTAAATATACTTAATGACACATTTGAACATCAATCTACCAGCTTCTTGTCTTTCGTCATATTTTTCATGAATGACGACTTGATGATTAAGTATAGTTATATTTAAATCAATAGAGCAAACACCATCCGTGCGTTTTCTGTAGCACTTTTTGGCTATGCTATTCTAAATTGATACTATCACTTTAGTATAGCACATTTTTCTTAGAGTCTGCAACAGATATAGATTTCGGGCTAATTTTAACACAACCTAAATATCGGAGTCTACAAACAAAATACTGCATGTGATTATTTTGCCCTCAGTAATACCTACAACGCAAGCATGACTCAACATTTCAAGTTTATATGTTCAACACAATCTATTTAGATTATAAAGTTGCCTAGTGGTCTTTTTCTCGTGCGCGTGAGATGCGCCAATATTAAGATTTATCTTAAAGAATGTGAGATTCTTACTCAAGGAAGTCCATGAGCTAATCAAAATAACTTCACAAGGATTCATCTATCTAATTATGATTTACATCTATTAGACAATGTTGAAACGTTTTTCTATAAAGGAAGCCCTTAATAAAGAGTAAAAGTCAATTTTGAAAAGTTTTCAAACGAAAAATAAAGTTTGTTTAAAAAGTCATTCATCGTCTGTTGAAATTTTTTCATAGTTATTAACAGATTTTATAACTCCAGTTAAAGAGCTTCATGTATTTATGAATCCTAGTCGTTTCACAATGCGGTCATTAATAACATTTTGATTTTATTTCTCACAGTCGGCGCATATAATATTTTGGACAATTTTGTTTTCACACATACAAGTAGACAAGGAAAAACAGAAAAATACAAAGAAATACTCAACAAAAAATGACAGAGTTCAAGCACAAATATACACTTTAAGCGTAATGAATAAAGAGAATAGAATTTAGCTATACATCTTCGTAGATGTAACAACAATAATAATAAAAGAAATAATTATCTGGAAATTAAAAACTATACGGAGAGAGACAGATCATAAATAAAGCATACTTATTGAAATGGATGTCATTGGTATACAGTATAAGCGACGATTTATCGTCGTGATGAACTACGCGATGAACGATTATTTTCTCTTCTGTCTCTTGATCGTGAACGATCTCTATCACTTCTGTCACGGTCACCTCTATCTCTTGAACGTGAACCTAAAATAATCAAAATATTCTAAATCTCAAGTCCTAGAAGTCAACACAAATAACTTACGATCTGTACCGCCACGATTTGAACGTGATGAATTCGTATTGTTACTGCGCTGGTTACGATCTGAATCTCTATCCGAATCACGATCTCGATCACGATCACTATCTCTAGAAAAATACAATGCATACAAGAGTAATGAGTTATTATTCTATACTGAAGGGAAAATCTTGCATCTTATTTTTATCTAAACTCTTATTTGTTAAAGAGAGAGGAAGAGTTTAGATAACTCTTACATCTAAGTCTCACAGTATCAAAGTGATCTTCTTGCTATATATAATGAGAACAGAAGAGCGTCTGAGCAATAAGAAAACATCAGCACCTGTTGATTCTGCTGGTGATGAGTATTCCTATTCATACACTAAAATGACGATCCAAGTTTTCAAGAAAACACAAATATTCACCTTGAACGTCTGCTATACGAAGGTGAACGTCTTCTTTTATATCCACCTCTTGGATTATCATCATCTCGATCTCGAGATCTTGAACGATCACGAATCTATCATGAAAATCAAAATGATGTACATTGAGATCAAAATGTTAGTTATTACTTACTCTGTTATCACTTCCTGCAAATCGTCCTCGTCGTCCTTGACCAGGCGTTGTTTTCGCAAATTCAACAATTAAACGTCGACCACGATGACTTCGTCCATGTTCTTTACGTTGAGCACGCTATAGTAAACGAAAAACATGTAAAAAATTACCAATAGGACATAAAATATCAGGGAGAAAAAAAGCAAATAAACAACTATTTTTTGCTTGTTGTTGCCTTCGATGTGTTGTTTTTAAAGTAGATTTAATAGTAGACTAAATCATAATGATCTAACAGTTTTTACTACGATAGGTCTTTCCTCTCGATCTTTAACTTAGTAGGAAGAACTATTTCGACAAATATTATGCATATTCTACCCGAATTGTCACATGCCCGATCTTAACTCTTCTAAAGCGATATAAAAACTGAAAAAGTACAGATAAATGTCAACAAAAACAACACATCAACCCGTGACAACATCAGCAAAATATAAGTCACTCTACTAATGTTTTTTGTACCGTTTTATGGTTTATATAGATGCAGCAGCAGCACAGCAGCACGGTGGCTGGAGGTGGTGGTTAAAGGCAGGAGACAGCACAAAAAGAAGTCTCTCTTTTTTGGTAGGCATGTTCTCTTTACGGTGGTCTTTTTTGTTTTATCAATAGTCGACTTCCAATTCACACTTTCACTTACGGTTAACAAAAAAGAATTAAAATAAAAAAATTAATAAAATTAAAACATAAAGCCAAAAATATCATTTTAGTATTATTAGCAATTATTAGTAGCTTTCTGTTTTTTTTTACAATTAAATGCAAAATAAATCATTATCAAAAGACTTTACGAACACAATTGATAACGAAAAAAAAGAAAAAACAGGTAGCTTGGAATGGAAATGGTGGTATTTTTGGTCTGCTGACATGGTGTCTAGCCATGGTAGATGTATCGCTTTTTGTGGCTAAGGTATTCTACATGGTGGAACGGTTAACAAGAGGAAGGTATGTATGTGTATGTGTGTATGTATTCGTACCGTTTTCCTAAAAACGTGCAGTGTCAAAATAAAGAAAGAACGGAGAAATAGAAGTGTTTATCAGATTAGGTAGTTACTGATGCTGTAGTTTCTTTATACCATAACCAAAAAGAAAAATAGTTGCAGCAGAAAAAACAAAAGACATTGGACTGCTAAATCGACCACTTATTTTTCATATTATTATAGAGTATGATTGAATATATTATTTTACCTCGGCATCATCGCTGAAATCAAAACCAACAAATCCAAATGCAGCTGAATAGGCTAAAAAGACAAAAATAAATAAGCAATAAGATGCGGGAAGAAGATAAGAGAAAGAAATTAAAACACACATAGCAATAACTAAAACAAAGGAGCACGAAAGCAACAAAAGAGAAAAACATAAGTTTGTTAACATATTTTTCGGCCATCACAGTTAAACAGTGTTTAGTTTCTTTTATAAAGACATCTGTGAGTATATATGTATCCCTCATGCAAACCAGCAGCACGCCTTACCAGACCCACCGAATTTAACATCACATCGTACAAGTCCGCCATATCTCTCAAATATTTCTTTTAATTCTTGTGTCGTTGTATCGGGATCTAGATTTCCAACGTATAATTCACTGGAAGGCATTTGTTCTTCTTTGAAACTTGACGTTATAAATATCAAAATAATTTCAAATTGGCAAGCGTTATATATAAGAACGACTTATTTTCTTTTAATTCAATATTTAGTTTGTCTCATTCATGTAGACTAGTCGTTTTCAATATCTAAAAGTGAAGAAATAAAATATTATGTTCAAAAGGACAAAAAAATAACTGCAAATTTCAAAACTAACAACTAACAACGATACGGATGAATGAATAGCTTTACATAACGAGAGAGAACTAGAGGCACTTAATAGATGAAGCAGATCGATCGATGCGCATTGTTTATCATTATTGTTTTTTACTTGTGAATGAAATAAAAAGTTGGCACACATGGTTGCGGAGGCTATGCACCTGGTATCATGGCAATTTAAGACAATTTAGAAAACTTCTATTTTTTTATCCATAAACGATTGAGATATTATAATGGAGGATTTATAAAATAATTCTTAAACCGTTGTAGGAATAGTTGTAGAATAATTTCGAGGAAAATTTTCTGTTTTTCATTGGTACAAGATTTAAACAAATCCGATTTGTTAACTATTCTACGGTTGACTCACTCTAATTATATATCCACAAGCTTTTTTCTCATATCACGCTAACCGTCAAAAGTAGGCGTCAATTGACGGTTTGTAGTAATTTCGAAAAAGGCTAGATAGTCATCAATTTTAAAAATGTACAATATGATAATATGAGAGCACAAATAGTTAATTCTTAAGTTGATTTTTGTCTTTTTATGCGAACGAAATACTTTTCTATAAGAATTTAGTAAACTTCTTGCTAATCGATAAATTTTGAACATAATAAATTTGAAGAAAAGGTCCAACACTTCTCACTCTGTTTTTTAAATGTACCAGTGGCCATCTTTGACGGTTGTAAGAAATAAATAATATGCACTTCACCTAGGTAAGTTAAATAAATGTGTAAAATTGAATGAACGTAGTCCTTGCTTTCCTTTGTGAAACGTCAGATTTTCTTCTAACTTCTGTGTTACATAGTTTTATTCGTGTTGACTGACTGTCCGTTTTAGTGGAGAGCGCACATGTTGCTCGTGTTTAATTATAAGTTGCAGAGAGTGAGAGAGAGAGGTCAAGCTCGTGTCATATTCTAAAAAAGCAAGTCATAGTTAGTAAGCAGTTCTCAACATGGAAGTAAGTATCTGCTCTAAAAGAAGAATATGTCACACTTTGTGTGACCCTTGCAATTATTATTCAGCTGTTCTTATTTTCAGATAGCAATGGATGATACAACAAGTTTAAGTAGTTTGAATTCAGCTGATTTTATTCTTATTGGCAAAGAACCGAAACTACAAGTAGCAGCTGGTAAGTGTTCAAATTCAGAGTCGTGTGCGATAGGGAGGATGATGCATGAAATGCATGCCACTCTGCTTTGATTTCTTACTTTCTCCTGCTAATAACCTTTTCAGTAACTTTTTGGGGGCTCAAAACACATTTTACCTTTTTCTCAAAAATTCCTGCCTTTTTCTCTTGCCATGGCACTGTTCAGGTTCTTGTTTAATAAACTCATCTGTGACCATTAGCGAGGCGAAGATAAACTAATCGTAGTTTTGTCTTTAAACAACTTGGTTTGGAAGGAAAAATATCTCACCGTTATCGGTACAGGGTGCTCACAAGTAAACTTCGCGTACGATATCTTTCCAATCGATGATGTCCGTCGGTAGTTACCCATTTCTTGACCAATTATCAACCATAGCTTTGACAAGAAGCCTAGTCTGACGCTAAGTTCTTTCACCTAGTTGCCTGAAATTCTCACACACTTACTAACCACGTATCAGCTATTTGACAGGCTAGAGAAACCTTGCCATACACCACAATATAAAAGTATGCTATCAGATGGATGATCTGAAATGCATGAATCTAACCAACTTACGCTAGGTTATAGTAAGATTGGTCGACGTGTCCAACACAGTGAGTCTGAAATATATGACTAACGCCATAATCAATAAACCAAGCTGCTCACATCTGTTTGAGATTATGCAAGTTTAATGTAATACACATAACTAAACTAGTTATCGCTATGCTAATAACTGAATGTTGATGCATCAGGTTATTCCATTCTTATTATTCTAGCTTTTTTAAAATGTTAAAAAGACAATTTTTTCGTCTAACAAGTAAGTGCGCTCACGTTGTGCTCTGAAAAACAAGACATTTATTTCTTACTAAACAAAAAAAACTAATCCATAAGAGATAAATCATTATAAATTTGCTTCTTTTTGATAAAATTAGCATGCATTCTAATACTGGCTACTGATTTTCGAGCTCTAATTCTCTTTCTTGTGATTTTCTGAACTTCTGCTTCTAGCTTGTCATATTTTTCTTTTAATTTAGGCGGTGGAAGTACAGATCTTGAAAAAAATATGGCTGAAATATTAAATGAGGTATATATTCTTTCTAAGGAGATGCAAACATTTCTATTTGACTTTTCATTATTTTTTTTCTTTTCAGTCTACAGATTCGTCTCAGTTTGAGAAAACATTAGTTGTCACTCCACCCACTTCATTACCTTCATCACCCGACGACACTGCCCAAAATAGTGGCGATAATAATACGACCCCAATTGGATCGATGAATGATAGTAATCAATTTGAAGAACATCAGAAAAAATTAAATGAACATGAAATCAATATTGATAACAACGATGGTAAGATTTTTTGATTTTAAAAATGCATTATAATTACCTAACTATAAACTAGAGGAGTTATTATAAATATTTTATCTCCGATTTAATCTTTTTGTATGCAGAAACTATAGACTCGTTTATATGTTTAGATACAAGTTCAATTGCATCTTCGACAGCTGGTGATTTAACTCGTCCAATTCAAAATGCACGTCCTTATTTGGGTAATAGTGTTCTATTTCATGGTGTGACTTATTTGGGATCTGCAAGTATTAATGCACCAAGAAGTGAAGAAGAATTAAATAGGTAATATATTTTAAATTTTTAAAATAATAATAGATAATAATGAGTTTTTTACTTTATTTTTAGAAATATGGCTATATTAAATGAACAAAGTAAAATGTCAATTGAAGTAACGCTATGCGTACCTGATTCAGCCGAAGGACTAGTTAGGTAAGTGTAATAAACTATCATTGCAACCAGTATCACTTGTTTATTATTAAATTGAATGTGTTTTTACAGTAGGAAAAAACCAATTCGATAGTTTTTATTGTAATTCTAAATAACTAGAGTATGTTTACTATGTAGCTTGTTATTTCGTTTTTTACTTCTTCTGTTTGATTGCTTTTCCCAAAAATGTTAACAATAGCTGACATTTTTGTACTGTTTCGATAGCGATTAATCTTAATTGATCATAGGTATCATTATCAAATTGAAATAATGCTTGAATTAATAATTCTCTTTCATTTTTATCCATTTTCAAATGTTGACTGATTAGTTGTGCTCGACGGTCATTATACGTTGCCATATATTGAATATTTATTAAAAAGTGTTTTTGTTCTGATAAAATTGATTTATCATTACTATAATGTGACAATTCGATGATGGCTTCAATAAGACGCCAAAGACACAAACGTAATTCATCGATTAAACTTAATATTATGGAATTTGTATGCAAATGAGAAGAATCAGAGCCTTTTAAAGATGGAAAATAAAATTGTTGATGATTTTGAAATACAAGGAATTCTTTTTCTCACGGATATCTAGACTTTTTGGGTAACTTTATTTATTGGAGATTAGATTTTTAAACAAATATGTCGTTTAATTAATTACCTGTTTCAATAATGCCTTGATGAATTTCAGCTAATCGTTCATCATTTGTATTCGACCTATTTTGAACAAATTTTTCTAATTGATGATAACAATCAGTAAGCAAATGTTGATAACGTTGTTCTACTGTTCGTATAATTTCATATTCAGAATGTTTTACAAATTCATTTATACACGATAAATCATAACGATAATCGGTAGAAGTCAAGAAAGAAGTTGTTGATAGTATGGACATTTTTGCAAGTGTGTTGGGATGATATCAAGAAAAAAAGTTTCTTTCCTGCAGTCGTTGTCAATTTGTCGTTGAAAACAGATTACATTTGCTTTAAAAAATACTTACTGATTTTTTTTCGTCCTCAAGTAATAGTAGCGCGCCAAGAATGTGAAGTCAAACATTTCACAGCACATCATAATGATAATCTTGTGTAGATCAATCACCCCTCCCTACCGATGAACTTGTTAATCCAAACAGTAGCTTGCAACGATTGCCGACAAGTATTTTTCTTTTTAACACAATCGGTACGATACCTTCAAGTATAATATAATATGTTGAAAAGAACGATGGTTTTCACATCCTAATCGTTGTAAGGTAATCGAATAACTCGTGTATGTTCCATTACGAAATTGATAAACAATGTGTATCCAGTGAAAGTGTGCAAGTAATAAAATCCACTGTTGTATTTTTCCAGGTGACAGTTCTGAATACTCTAAAATAAATGTAAATTAATTGATCTCTTGAACGGTATGTATCCGGTATTTTTCATGTCGTTTCATTGAAAATATTGTTGCCAGTTCTCGATTGAAACGAGTGAATGACGCAGAATACCGAAATATGTTGGATAGCGCTACGGATGAAACTTTCACGTATATGTCATTGACTGGTGATGTTGGTTTAACTCTTGAATTTAAAATGAAATTAAATCAAGATCAACAACACCATATTGAAGAATTTATCCGTATTGTAGTTCATTTTTATGTAAATGTTACTTGTACTCTTGAAATTATCAGAATTAATTTATAACATTTTAATTATTCCAGATAAATTTTTGAATAAAGTAGTGAGCTCATCTTCAACTTTTTTCATTTTACTTGTTTTATTTTATCCATTTTTGCTAATATGTTTAGATTACTTGATCCTCAAACAGAAATTGAAATAATTAGTTATCGTATCTGTCAAATATTGTTTTGCGCACGTGGTCAAACAAATACGTCAGAGGCATGTTGTTTTGCATTTACAACCGGATATTCGTCGACAAAAACAAACACTAGTCCAACGACAAATATACAAGAAACGAAAACAGAATTACTTTATCAATGTCAAGTATTTCGATGTGATTTACAAGATGCTGTAAGTTTGTTATTCTATGCTCTTTATCTACTTTTTTTTATTTTTATCATAGTATAAAAAAATTATCGATTTTTTCGTACATAATGCATAGTATTCTATATTTTTTTTAACCTTTTCTGTCCTTCTTCTTATTTACGAACAATATTTTCTTAGCAAAAGAAAAGGGTGTTATTAATCACAATAGTAGTTATGTCGCTCAATAGTGCATATCGTAGTGAACTAGCAGAAAAAATTAATGCTGCTTTAGATTTGAATGGCACAAATTCCGATGAAGATGGGGAGGTAAACACATTGATGATATATGAACATTAAAATATGTTCAAATAGTTGTAAATTTATTGAATGAATATTTTTAAAGAAAAATTCTACTCGGTTTTTCCTCCATTTTGTTTTTACTTGGGATTCAGATACAGTTGATCAAATTTGTAAGTCGAAGAATGTTCATAAATTTCGGGATTGGTATTCTTTTTCTTAGTATTGACTAATTTATTATTTATTTATTTTCATCGTAAAAACAGCTTCATTTTTTCATGGTTGTGGGTTTCTTGATATTAGACCACGTTTTTTTTTCTTTTTAAATATAATTCAATCTATTCACATCACCATACAATGGCTAATAATTTGTTTGATTAGTAAATGATAGATTAATTACCAAAAAGTATTTTTAGAAGAGACTTTCTTTTTTATTCTCTTTTAATATGATTTTTATGATGTTATCAATACATCTTTCACACTTTAAACTCGTATGTGATACATGTTGTTATTTTTTTGTTTAGATTTATCGTATTTTACTAAGTTTTGCAAATGCTTTTCGTCGTACATCGTCTACGAGTCAACAGTCATTATCACAACAGCCATCTCAACCATCTACTGTTAAAACTGGTCGTACACAATCGTTAATTGGTGCTATACAAGCAGCTACACAAACACAATCACAACTTCAACATCATTTAAAACCATCGGATTCTTTAATTAAATTCAAAACATATTTAGATATTAAAGAAGATGATGGAAAAGGAAACTTTGTATCTGTTCAACGGTATGATCAAATAATAGATAAAGATCTTTCTTTTTTTTTTTATTACATTTATCTTTGATTTATTTAGACCAGATAAAAATGTGTTTAAATTACGAAAAGATGTAAGAAAAAAAGTATCTGTTGCTTTACAACAATTACGTGGTGCTCCACTGAATATTGAACGGTTAGAAAAAAGAAAATTCTACTTGTTTTGTTTATTTGAAAATTCTATTTGATCTAGATGCTTTGGGATGTTACTTGCTCAAGGTCGAAATGTTCGTGCTAGTGATATGCAATTATTGGATATGGTATGTAAAAAATCGAGGTCTGTTAAAATGTGACTATACACTTTTTCTTTTCATGGTTAGGAAACAATGGGTAAATCACCTGATGAAAAATATTATATGGTACGTGGTAACTGGGATCCATTAGCTCGATCATTCAAAGAGTTAGTTCATCTCAATGAAGAAACACCCAAAAGTAAGAGGCGATTATTTTCAATGTAAATGCAAACAGCGGCAATTGTATTATGTAAACCAATGACTACATTTTTTTTGTTGTTGAAAGTAATGGGTAAAGTTTTCAGTATAAAAGATAAGATAATTAACAATTTAAACATTTCCTTTTTTCGACCTTTATGATCATTTTCAAGAAATATCAGAATATAAAATGTTCTATATTTGTTGAAAATGGCTATAAAGGTCGAAAATTCCAAATAAGAAAGGAAATGTTTAAAGTTATAATTATTTTATCTTTTTAGACTAATCTTTTGTGAAATAATAAAAACTTTGCGACTAGAAGCTATTTTATCCTTTACAATGAAATTTGTATGAAATAAAACTTGTTCTTAAACTGTCCAACATAGAAATAACAACAAAAAAATATAATGTTTTGCATTAAGAATGATCTAATTCAGCGATTGTATTGATAAAGATGAGCTTTTTTTGAAAATAAGACTACTATTGAAGTAAGTGGAAATAATGTGGTGAGACAATTTGAATGTATCAAAGATTCACTTCACGACACCATTAAACAGAAGCTATATAAAAGTCAATTTTTTTATTGCCGTGCCGTGGTGAGAAAACAAATTTTTTTAAGACATTAAACAAATATTTATAATTAAATTAGTGAGAACACCTTCATCTCTGCATGCGCGTTCGTCGTATGAAATGTTTAGCTAGACGTACGTCTCTTAGACTGATGTTGAGTGGTACTTGTATTTTTTATCGGATTACTAGCGTCAGAATAGGTAGTAAGTAGTGAATATTTTTTTTTTTTTGTTCTTTCACTGAATTTGACTATATAATACTAATGTCAATATTCTACATGGGAAGAAACGAATGTGTGTATGTGTGTTTTTAATTTCATGCTGTGCAAGTTATAAATTTGATACTATATATTGATAGTTCGTTTTTCTACATATTTAGATGCTCGTGTATTTTTAACAATCGCAGTTGATTTAGTTATATCGGGTATACAAGAACCAGTGAGATTTCGTATTGAAACAAAAGCTAGAATTTGTTATCCAAATGAAAATTCAAATGAATTATCCGATGCATTTTGGTCATCATTTAAAAAGTTAACACCATTATCAGAAGAATTTGATATGAAATTGAAAGAGGTAAGTACTTAATACTAATCTGTAAAATATGTCTCTTATTTAGGTTTTTGATCATAAACAAAATGTGTTATGACATTATCAGTACATTTTGTCTGCAGAACTTCTTGTCTCTGTATAGTAGCTATTAAAAGTTCTTACGTTCTTATTTTTTCTTCAAGTGGTTCGCATAAATCTAGAACACTCTCTCAAAGTTAAATTTTTTTAAACTTTCAAATTATTACTATAAATTTACTATTTCTTTTCACGTTTTAAATGTAATAAATGAATTGTATGAATGCTGTTTAGAGTTATTTTCCTAGGTAAGTGATTTCTTTTGTCTCCATAAACATTGCGCACATTAGATACTCTGTTTGACACTATTAAACGATGTTCTGTTAAACAAAGGTTGATTTAACTAATCATAATTGATTTAACGTCTTCTATGTCGGTTTTATCATAACATTTAAGTTTCTCGGAACAGAAAATAGTATAAAAAAGAAGTATAATAACAGTTACAAATAAGCATTTCCGCTTTTGCTTAATTTTCATTGACGAGTGGTAGTCCACACGTATCCCTTCGCTTTCTTACTAAAAACCGGTTTATTGTATATAATTTATGTCGTCTATTACGAATCTAATAAACGTTGCTATGTCATGTCATATGACATAGATGTCCGGAGGACTTATTTCACAGAATTCGGCCTGTCCCACTCCTTCATATTCGAAACCATCGTCCGCGTCCCATCAGCGATCTCGATCAGGGGGAGTGGCAGCCCCTCTCTGGAATTTCTGACTTTCCATAAAAATTTTTGTTTTGAATTTTCGTAGCGGAAAATGTAGCAGCAGCATAAAAGACTACTTTTTATGTCAACTTTTCTGTGTTAATCTTCCGCGTAGACGTGCAAATACAAGTATGGTCTCTTTTATATTACTTGGCAATCTGTTTTTCTTCCTTAAGTATCTCACATCTGACTAGTTTATTTTATTGGAACGAAAAGTGAAATAACCTCAAATAAAATCATTCCGTTTTCGCTTCATCACTTTCCGTAAGTTATTTTTATAAGCTTTCCGTCACAATTATAGCCCTCTCCCCTCCCCTTTGGCCAAAAAACAATCGGAATCCCAGCGTCTTATCGAAAAACAACTTTTCTGCTTCGTGTAGCAGAGTTTTTTCTCTTCAATGTCTCAGACTTTCCTCTTCACAAAACGCGATGTTTTATTTCAAAACAGTTCTAGGAATATACACAAAAATAAATTGAAAAGTTCATATTTATTTTTCTGCTGAACGGACGACCATTAAGTCGTTTACAGTTTGCCGGTTTAGATTAGATCTTCGTTGGATGATTATCAAGTCTGCTGCCAAAAAAAAGCTCCACTTCGCGTAAACCCTACCTCAACAGTTCTTAGATTATCTATCATTGAACAAAACAATGTTTTTCCTCTGCAATAGTTCTCCGCGGGTTTCTCATCTCCCTGCATTTCTGATGCCATAACCGATCTTTGATAATCTAAAACTACCTCTTGAAAATCCGTCTCTGATAGTAGTGGTTTGTAGAGAATATCAGGAGACAAATTACTAAGACTAACAAAAACATTTTGTAGTGTGAATTTATCTTTAGAATATGCTGTGTTTTTTGGTACTGTTTTAGTAGTTGGTTTTTGAAACGAAAAATTCATAACTGTGCGAAAATAGATGTGTTAGTCGTAGTGATTTGTGCACGTTCTGTACGAGCGGGCTCTGTCAGATATGGTGAGGGTATTTTTGTGTGTAAACATTTAGAGAACGTTTTTGACTATACTTCACAACAGGAACATATATTTATTAGATTTGTGATTAATACAAAAAAGGAGATTTCCAGGAAAAAAATCCGAAAGGTCCAATCTGGAGAACATCTTTCTTGTCTTATTTCACTTTTGTATCACATACCTGTTAGATAATTTTTAGGAACTGTCAAGTATAATCTCGTGTGAAAAAAGATTTTCATAGTAGTACATTTATTTATTTTTGGTTAATAATTGAATATCACTTGAACAATGCAGCCGATTGCATCTTTGAAGGAATTTCACTAAGGTCATACATCTGTATTCAATGAAAAGCTACAAAAAAGATTATCGGGTAGCGCAGAATAAATTAGACTGTTTTTATTTTCAAATTTTGTTCTTCTACTTACACTTGATTGAGCTAGTTTTTTGTACCAAAAGATTTCCTGTTGAATTCTCTACAAAAAAAATGTATTGATTGTTTTATTGCAAAATCCGAAGGTGTAAAATCCCCCATAAGAAATGGTGAGAAGTACTAAAATGCTGAAAAAATAAACGTATCTTCTCAAAGAGAGTGAAATTTTTTCGAATGGTTTCACAAACATTAAAACACGATTTCAGTATATTTTTGTATAATTTCAAATATGCTCTGTCTCATTGTGCAGAGCGAAAACCGTTTGAATCTAAATAGCAAAGTTTAATTTCTCAGCAATCAAGTGAAAATAGCAAAAAGTTGTTACGTTTTTTTCGTGTGATGGAACAAAACAAGATTTTTTTCGAATTCTTAGAGATACGATCATAATGACTAATCATTTGTTTTCAAAATTAAAAAAATCAATCTGAATGGATCAAGTTTGACTAAGCTTTATTTGTTTTATTGGAAGGCTCAAATTATCGATAAAAAATCGTCATTTTTTGAAAAATTGGCAAAAAATAATGAAATTCTTGTGCTCTCAATTTCAACTGAAAATTATTTAAATTACAGATGGAAGATAGAGCTTTTCGAGGCATACACGATGGCTACTTCAGCTTTCATCTCTCACAAACTTTTAGCAGATAATACTAAAAAAAACTGTTAACTACGTTTATTTTTTCAACATTTTAGTACTTCTCACCATTTCTCATGGGATTGTACACCTTCGGATTTTGCAATAAAATAATCAATACATTTTTTTGTAGAGAATTCAACAGGAAATCTTTCGGTAAAATAACTGGCTTAATCAAGTGTAATGAGGAGAAGAAAATTTGAAAATACAAACAGTCTAATTTATTCTGCGCCACTCGTTACCTTTAGGTTTATATTGTTGGACACAGTTTAGAATTGATTTATAAATGACGTTTTTCTTTATAAATCTAAGATTAAGGAAAATAAAAATTTCCTATTCACTTTTTACTCAGGAACTTACTTCGCAACAGACTGATATAGCTTTGACATCCGTACTATAAATGTTACTATGTTAGAAAAATTTTAGTTCTCTATTGTCAAACAATCTTTCTGTTCAACATTTTCTGATAGACACACTTCACGTTTATTAGTTTTACGATTCTGTCGAAGCATCTCTTCAGCTTCAATTTTGTACTTTTAGTACAGTAATCTGACTCATAATATTTGAGAAAAACAGATTTTAATCTCTATATATTTTTTTTATTAAGCAATATTTTATTTTTAATTCTATGTCTCAAAAAGGAAAAGTAATGCTAAATTTTTGTAGCATAGGTAGTTTTTAATATTATAAGTATGTTACAATGTAGATAATTATAAGATTAGATTATAAGATAGATAATTACAATATTATAAATATATTATGATTTCTACTTTATTGACTCTAAAAACTACCTATGCTATAAAAATTTAGCATTACTTTTCCTTTTTAAGACATAGAATTAAAAATAAAATATTGCTTAATACAAAAAAATATATAGAGATTAAAATCTATTTTTCTCAAACATTATGAGTCAGATTGCTGTACTAAAAGTACAAAATTAAAGCTGAAAAGATGCTTCTACAACATCGTAAAACTAATAAACGTGAAATGTGTCTATCAGAAAATGTAGTCGATTGAACAGAGAGAAGTTGTTTGACAATAGAGAATTAAAATTTTTATATTTATAATTAGCGTATCGTATTCTACTATGTAGCATATAGTTGGTCGACATCCAGAGATACACTTGAAGAAGATTTTCTCTTATCAGTGAATTAGAAAGTTCCTCATAGTTATTATGCGCGCCATTTTCTATAACATTTAATATCCGAAAATTACTTAAAAATTTTGATTTCAATAGATATTTTTTGTTCATTTAAGTTCTTATGGTTAAGTTTAAAAGAAAAACAGCATACACCGTGAGTTGAAACTTACATGTACTGCACGATGACCAAAAAAAAAATAATCATTTTCTTTGTTTTAATAGTTTTCTGTTTCACGATATATCATTATTGTATTTTAGGCACAAACGAAAAATTCCCAGCAAGATGCATCATATGAAGTGATTAGTCTTGAAAGTAAATCAGAAATGGAAAGAAAAGTAAAATTACAAGCAGCTATGAGAAATCAACAAAATGGTATATACAATTTATTTTAAGATTTATAAATATATGAGATTTAATTATGTTTTTTTTTTCTAGGAGGAACATCATCAGATGATGAACCGATTGCTAGTGGTTTTGGTGTTGTTAGTAAAGAATGTTCGGAAGATATTTTAGATAATTGGAGTGATATTTTATTGAAATGGAGAAAAAATTATAGTGAAAGACCAAGAGGATTACAGACACTTGTTCGAAAAGGTAAATATGATAAAAATCGTTTATATAATAAAAGAACGATGAATTATCTTCTATAGGAGTGCCTGAAGCATTACGTGGAGAAGTATGGCAGTTACTTGCTGGATCTACAGGAAAAGAATTTGAAATGATTGATACATACAGATTATTATTGACAAAAGTAAGAAGATGTTAACTCATTTTTTGCCATTATTAACTCATATTTCGAAATTATATCCATTTTAGGAATCGGCTTCTGAACGTGTTATATTAAATGATTTAAATCGAACATTTCCTGCACATGAATATTTTAAAGAAGTTGGTGGAATTGGACAAGAAGCTTTGTATAAACTAAGTCGGGTATGACTCTTGAATTTATTTGAATAGTCTATGATAATCATTTTTCTATCTTTCTAGGCTTATTCTGTTCGTGATGAAGAAGTTGGTTATTGTCAAGGTTTATCATTTGTCATTGCAACACTATTAATACATGTAGGGTGTTAATTGTCATTTTGTTGTTATGAATTATAATCTATTAAAAACGATGATTATTTTTTAGATGCCCGAAGAACAAGCGTTCATGTTACTATGCAAAATGATGGAAGATCCACGATATGATTTACGAGAAATGTATAAAGCCAGTTTTGAAAATTTACAAATGAGATTTCATCAATTACATTGTCTTATGAGAGTATGTTTATCAATTTTTATGGACTAAAAAAGTTAGAAGAAAATTTTTTCTCCTTTTTTTGCCTATTTAAGGATAATTTACCCGAATTATACGATCATTTTGACGATTTAAAACTTTTATGTCATATGTATGCATCTCAATGGTTTTTAACATTATTTACAGCCAAATTTCCATTATATCTTGTTTTTCGAATTATGGATCTATTCTTATATGAAGTGCGTTTTGATGTTTTGATGATTAATAATGAAAATTTAATTTTGCCTCGTTTTTTTATTCTTATAGGGTTTCAATTCATTATTTGCTGTCGGACTTGCTCTTCTAAAAGTACATTATTTTGATTGTACATGAAAAATTGATGGATAATTTTTAATATGTTTACTATTTTTTAGTGTGCACAAAAAGATTTACTTGTATTAGATTTTGAAGGTGTAATGAGATATTTTCGAGTAAGTTTACCAAAAAAATATCGATGTGAAGATCATGCTGATGAATTAATACAAACAGCTTGTTCAATGAAGGTATGAATTAAAAAAAATAATAATGAAAAGTTTTGATGAATACACAATGTTCATTCATTTTTTTTAGATAAGTCCAAAAAAATTAAAACGTTATGAAAAAGAACACTATGAATTAAAAGCACTCGAAGAACAAGGTGATGAACCATTGAATAGACTTGAGGTATTTTTTATATTCTATTTATCTATTGATTTATGTTTTACCTTCTTGGGGCTACTTTTGTTGATTTTGCTTCATTTTCGTTTTTTCTTTTTATTTAAATTTCAAGTGTGATAATAAACGCTTACAAGGCACATGTATTCGACTTGAATTAGAAAATGAAATGTTAGCACTTGAATTAGTTAATGATCGAGTGAAATTAAAAGAAAAAATTGATAAAGTATATACAATTAAGAAAAAAGAAAACAAAAAAAAAAAATAATGAGAAAAAACTCATACAAATACCGTCATAGAGATGTTTTTATTTATTCTAGTCCGATGATCGAATAGAAACATTAGCACGTGAACTGACTGCGACACGAACAATTGTAAGAGAAAGTGAATTACATACAATACGAATAAATGAAGAATTAGAAAATGTAAGATAAATATTCTCAATTTTTGTGATACAAAATCTTGAGTTATAGTGAACAGTTTTTTAAAAAACATTAATTCCATATTATTTTATCATCTTTAGATAAAAGAAGCATTTCGTCAAACATGTAATGAATTGCAACAAACCCAAAAAATTGTTACTGATTATAAACAGGTATAAAAATGATCTTCTACCAATACAAATGACAATATATTATATTTTTTTCTTATTTTAGATTTGTTCACAATTAAATGATCAATTAGAAATACAATCAAATATGTATAAAGGAAAATTAGAGATTATTCAAGTATATATTTATAATTTTTCTTTTTTTTTAAGTTTGACCACTTATTTCTATTTATTTTGTAGGATCGTTTAAGTAATTGTTGTGATTCATGTAAACTTGTATTAATGCCCGATACAGGCGATAATATTTCATTAGGTACAACACCACTATTATCATCATCACCTAAACAACATACATTTTATAATTCAACAATAACAAATACACCGGATTATTCAAATTTTGCAGCGGATTATGAATTAAAAGTACGTCAAGTTGAAAATGAATTAGCTGAAAAAAAATTACAATTAACTCAAGCACTATGTGAAAATCAAGAATTATTACATCAATTACGAACAGTAACTGAACAAAAATGTTTAGATTATAATAATATACCAACAACATCAGCAGATTTTATTCGACAATCACAACAAGGAAATTCATCAACGAACAGTTGGCTAAGTAAAACAGTAAATACAATTAAAGAAGCAACACGATCATCAAGTGGATCAATTAAATTTAGTTAATTAAATAAACAAACAATAAAATGGTGCATGTGTAAATAATTCAAAGAATGAGACATTTTTTTTCTTTTTTTATGTATACCGGTTGTTGTCTAACCCATTTCATTTTGGTTTTTTATTAGCTTATACAGTTTTCTTTTTCATGACTTAAAATGACTAGACAAAGAACTGCTATTGAGTAGAAATTTGCCTGTTGTTGTTTTTGATCATATGTAAAAAAAAGAAAGAAGCATTTACTGTTGTCTTTAACATTCTATTCTTTATATTCATTAATGAAATAATCTACTGTTTTTTTTTCGTTTGTTTTTTTAATATGAATATTCCTCGTCTTGTTAGCATTATGTTTTTGTTCTCTTTTTTTATTTCAACGAAAAAATCATTCCTATGCTAAGTAAAAAAAGCGTTTTTTTTTGTGTTCTAGTCGGTTTTTTGTCATTTTGTTTTTTTTCCTCCTACGTGTAGACCGGTAGTTGAGCAAGATATTATTTAGGGAAAGAGAATGAATGAGTATTTAGAAAGTGACACTTTGTTTTTTTTAAGATAAGATAGATAAGACCGACTTCTCGTTCTAGAACGTGTTATGCTTATTTATATTTGCATAGCCGTTGCAATGAAATTTAGATCGAACATAGTACAAAGGACAACGGAGTTGTTGTTTTTTTTCTTCTTCTAATTTCTAGCAAATATGACTGTAAATGGCGATCATTGTTCGATGACTGTGATTGTTCTTTTTTTAGAAACGGTTTAAATCATGTAAATTTTGTTAGGTTTATATTCAATTATCTCTGATAAACTAATTTCATTTTTTTTTCTTCTCCTTTTATATTGTGCCATGTTTCATAATTGTCTATTTTCAATTTACGCAGAAAAACATGTCGTTTTTTCTCTTTGACATTTGTTCTGTGTCATTGTTGTTGTTGTTGTTGTTGCTACTGTTTCTTTCCACTTTACTTCAGTACATTTTTTTTCTCAAAAATGTGCAATCAATGTCTTTGTCTGTTGATGTTTGCTCTTGAAAAAACGACATGTATATGTGTGTGTGTGCGTGTGTATGTGTATAATGGAGTTACAAACAGAATGTGTGTCTGTGTGCGTTTTTCTTTTTCTTAAAAAAATGAAACTTTTTCTAGAGCCGGTAATAAATAAATAAAATATTTCATTAAAGACTTCATTTATACTTCTTTATTTATACGATAAACGAATGTTTTAAAATTTATGAAAGAGAATTTTTGTATCTCATAGAAAGATTTATTCATCTAGAAATAGTATTGTTTATTTTTCTTTATTTTAGATTAATTATGAAAGTAATAAAATGTTTATTGTGATGATAAGCATATCACCAGGGTTGTCATATGAGAGAGAGAGATACTTGATTATTTAAATAGTGATCTTCTATATTCGATATTTAGTAATTTCAACTCATGTATCAATGATCTCTTATCTACATTTGATAAGTATTGGGGTAGACAAATGATAGACAATTGAGTAGAAATTTGCCCGTTGTTGTTTTTGATCATATGTAAAAAAAAAGAAAGAAGCATTTACTGTTGTCTTTAACATTCTATTCTTTATATTCATTAATGAAATAATCTACTGTTTTTCTTTCGTTTGACTTTTTTAATATGAATATTCCTCTTTTTGTTCTTTTTTTCCGTTAAATCAAGTATTTTCGCAACAACAAGATTAAAACTCTCAATTCAACGTTAAACTGTTTTGATAAAATCAAATGGTGAACAATTATCATACACATTATTTGTTGTTGATGTTAGTCGTCGTGTATTATAATCAAACAATCCATATTGTTGTTCAATAACTCGATCAATTATTTAAATTAATTTTATTTAGTAATTTTATTCTTGTACGATACGTCTACGACAGTATTTTCATCTTTGTAATAATCCATGGTGGGAAAGTCCTGGCACAAAATGTTCATTCATTTTTCAGAACACTTATCAGCAATTGTTGAGAGTCAAAAGCAGTCAGTTAGAATCAGAATTTTATGTTCTTTGCGAATATATGTTCAGATTTTTATTCCGGCTTAATGATGATTAACTATGTGCAAATGTTTGAAAGAGTCAGAAATGAAGTCTGTACAGAATATTTTTTGGCCTATTTTTGTATTTTCATTAAAACTTACTTCACTCAAACAAGTTTTACGATTTCAAACTGTCTCGAAATACAACTGTGCACGCTACAGATCACACAAAAACTCCGATTTTTCTCTGTACAGACTTCATTTTCTCCTCTTTCAAACATTTGCTCATAGTTAATCATCATTAAGTCAAAATAAAAATCTGAACATATATTCGGAAAGATCACAAAATTCTGATTCTAACTGACTAATAAATACTTTGAAAATGAATGAACATTTTGTGCCAAGACTTTCGCACCATGGATTATTCGATATTCGATATCTACTCTATTATCATAACATTTGACTTTGAGTTGATATGCAGTGATAATCTAACATAGATTTACTTATAAGAATTTGTTCTAAATTACAACAAAAATCAGTGATGGTTTCATACTTGATTTATGAACATTTTATTATATATTTATACATTCTCTACGAAATAGGAACTATCTGATTTTATCAAAGAAAGAATATTCTAGTATTATATCAACTCTCAATGACATTATGAATCCCATTAAAATTAGATTCATAAATAATTTTTTATATATTCAAATGTTTTTGTTGATAACAGGAGATGAATAATCTACAAACGAAGAAAATCATGGAAACAATTTTCATACATTTCGAACGAAATATTATTTATCGATTAAATATGTTAAAACTGTCACACTATAAGATCCAATATTCAAAATACAATTTTATGTAAAGAAAAAACTATTAATTGTAAAAAGAAAAAACAATTGATTTTAATAATTATTTGTCCAAGTTTAAATATAACATCAACAAAATGTATACCATTTAACTCTTCATGTTAACTATTCAGACTTTTTTATAGTACTGAAAATTTGGAGAAGAAAAATAATTATTTTTTAATTTGTTCTTGTTTTGAGTTGTATTTTATCAGTCTGATAGTTTGCGATTATAAAAATGTTTATGAGTGTAGTCTAAGTTACATTTCATGCATTTTAGCCTTTCATCGATTAATTCTTCTATTTTGTTCTTTTCTGTTTGTTGCTCACTCTTGATATTATTCATTCCATTAGAATTCGTAGAAAAAATATTTGATTATCATGATGGTGATGAGAGTATTTTATGATAATCAATATTTATTTATCTATAGAATATGGTTCTCTTATATCTTGATTTAACAAGGCACTTCCTCAATCAAATTCGATCATTCTTTGTAAAATGTTCTATTCTAAGTAGTCTCGTTGAAAAAATGAACGATTTTTCTCAACTATAATTAATAACGTCAAATGATACACGCTGTATTTTCAATCTAAAGAAAAACAATGCTAATCTAAATAGACACACTCATTATTAATTTGATTATTCAAATCATTAAGATCGCTATTGAATGATATTTTCCAAAGTTATTTTGTCATCTTATCATTTATCCAATGTTTAGTTTCGTTCCACAAGAGAAATCAAACACTTTTCATCTGAGAAATATTATTAAAGAAGAATGAAGATATAATTTTCGATAATTTATCATTTTTAATGACATAATGAGCTAAATTTGATAACAATAAAGTTTTTGAAAAATCTCTGTACTTTTCGACTTATACTCGTTTTTGATGAGAAATAATCTATTTAAACAGGTCGAAAACATAAAACTTTTGTTCTGTGAACGACAGAATTTATAAAATATGAACAAAAACAGATTTTTCTTTCCAACATCAGATCTTCCTCACACTATGACTTGTGGGAGTAGCAGGTTGCAATTCTTATATAGTGTCGTTTTTTTTTCTACAAATTTTTGAAAATATTAATATTCATTTTAATAGACAAATTGAACGATATAAGCGGTATTAGTGGAGAAGTTTATTTACAAGATTAAAAAGAATCTAAAGAATTCAGTTGTCTTTTGATGTGTGATTTTGGTCGTCTGCAATCAAACAATTTTCAGGCGAAATGTTCACCAGACAATCCCAATGAACTGAAGAGAATTGGCATATAACCAAGAGAGAAAAATAATAATCACGATTAAATGATTTCAAGACACGATTAATATAATCCATACTAAGTCTCTTTCAATATAAAATTCTTATGGTATTATCAAACATATTATTCATGCTTTATTTTAGATAGAAAATAAATGAAAATGATCAACTCTTTCTTCAATGAATTGATTTAACTGCTGATTATGATTATATATTGAACACAACAGATGAAACAAATTAGAGATGATTAAAATAAAATGTTGATCGTTCCTATCCTTTTTTGTCGTTCGCATATACACATGACGTGACATGAGTTACGTAGATACAAATGAGAGAAAAGGAAAGAAATAAACACCTTCATCAATCACTTCTCATTCAATATTTAGAGTCATTATGTAGTCATATGAAAATGAGACAAAAAGATTGTAAGCATAATTATAGTTTTCATTTTTTTTTTCAACTTTTTCTGTTATAATAAGATTAATGTGTTGTACGGTATAGGAGAAAAGAAATTTAAATAATGACAGTCAAAAAGATTTAGAAAAAATTATCGAACTCGAACTCGCTCAGCCCTGGGACTATTTGCTTGAGAATCGATGTTCAAAATATCAACACAGTTGAAACAATTCTAATACGACGTGACTTTGTGTGTAAGATAAATATTATTGACAATGACATAATTCACAATTCAATCGTTTAAAAGCAAATATTAGTTAGACTAATAGAATGAAAAATAAAAATTATAGCGAGAATTTATAAGAGTTTATATCGTGAATAATTTCATTAAATATCTGGAAGTTGCAATTAAAAAAATGCTTTTTAACAAATAAAAAAGTATATAATAAAACTAGCCGTTGTTTATTTGAATAAAATCTGTACTACATAGCTCCTAGTCGTATAAAAATTTTCATTTTGTCTTATGTCTGTTTTGATTCAAAAAGGAAAGGTTTATGTTGTATTCTGATAAAATTATTCTTTCGATAAAAGAAAGAAGTATAATTTTCCAAAGAAGTTTAATCCCTCTTAGAGATCCTTTGTTTACACAGTACTGTAGTTTTCTTCATCTATTTGAATTATTTATCATGTATTTTTAGATTATAAACAGGATCTTACTTGAACAGTTATCTGTGGATATGTATCTTGAAATATGTTGTTGTCAGCGTTTCGTGTTGGGGATCCGCGTATTAAAACTCAATTTTATCATGCGTTTCTCAGCATATCGAAAGTGATGATCATCAATACGTCGTGTCTCAATACCAGTATCATCTTTATATGCTGAGAAAAAATATATATAATTAGTATCCTTAACTATTTTTTTAAAACTTTCGATGTAAAAATAATTCCGTAATTTATGCCATTGATATAGATCAAGGATCAAACAGAATCACCAGTATTTGCATCGGAATATTTAACGTCTATTATCTGTTTCTTCTTACCACGTATTACTTAGAAATTATTCAACGAAAACTCGAAATCATCTATAATACTTAAAATGATTGTTGAAAATGCGTTCCACATATGAAACTTCATTAGGCAGTATTGTCTATCGTTCTAGATGTCGAAAATGTATACAATACCAGATTTAGACGATTCAGATGATGAATTTTCAACAAATAAAGTTCCATCATTATTTAAACGTTCGAAAATAGATGAACAGCCATTAGAACAACAAGCAACAATAGCAACTAACAACGATATTATTGAGGAAAAAAAAATATCATCATTAAACTCGACAACAATAATAGAGAATTCTACTTTCAATGCTTATATTCCAACAGCAGATGATGATTATTCATTCCCAGCCACTGCAACTACTTCTGGTGGAGCGAGTAAGTCATGAAAAGTTCCGTTGTGGGTACTCTATCAGTTCAACAAGAGTGAAAGTATTTTTTTCTCAAAGTTGCCTAGTTTATAATCTAATCTAGCCTGTCTATGCCACGGTCCGAAACTTGACGGTAAAAAACCAAAATTATTGCCTGAAACTTCAGGTAGCCTGTAGCTCACAAGGTAACCTTTTTCAGGTGTCTAACTCCGATTTCAATGATTTATAAGTCGATCGATAAAGGACAGTTTGCTAGTGAAAACCCTAAAAGGATTTGGGCTGTTATTGCTTCTTTCAAAAATTATTAAATTTTTTTGTTTTTGTAACACCGGTTGTTAACAAGATCTCTGTAGACTATAATCCATGAGCAGCTTGAAGCCAGTTTTTTGAATTTTATAATTGATGTAAAGACTTCGAAGCCACCTCAGTTTCGAAAGTTTCTAGAGTTTTGATGAAGAATTAAGGATTTTATAGCCCTTTCATTATTAGCAAGGGCAAACTTTTGAAAAACTTAAAAATTTCATAACTCGGAAACAAAATGACCTGAAAAGCTGAAGCGTTTTGCCGATATTAGAGACATAGAGAAAACCCATAAAAAGAATTTGAGCTCATAATTTCTCCAGTGGAGGAAGTTATAAAAATAACGATAAACAGTACTAGCGATTTGTCTTTCTTTCCAGTTAAAAGTTTGACAAACATTTTTAATTACTATCTTTTATTTAGGTAATAACAATAGTCATTCAGAAGTACCGCCTATCGCATCTACTGTACCAAAAAAGTCCTCACTCTCCTATGCGGCCTCACTACTCGTTCATTCTCGTCAGCGTGGTAATCCTCTATTAAAATACTTTCGTAATGTTTCATGGGAATACAATGATCAAATACTTAGTGATTATCAGATGTCGCGTACATCATGTGCCCTTTATTTATCTATGAGATATCATAATCTCAATCCAAACTATATCTATGATCGATTGAAAACAAAATTTCCTCACGATATTAAAATTCTCTTATGTCAATGTGATATCAAGGAACCAAATCATATTCTGAAAGAATTGGCGCGCATTTGTCTTCTGTCTGATTTCACATTGATCGTTTCGTGGACAGATGATGAATCTGCTCGTTATCTGGAAACATACAAAATATTGGAAAATAAATCAGCTGAACAGTTGATGGAACGAGTAGAAAATGATTATTTGACAAAATTATGTGATACGTTGACAACAATAAAGTCGGTCAATAAAACAGATGCCAATACGCTATTACATGCATTTGGATCACTGGACTCTATTTTGAATGCTACACAAGATCAACTAAATGTATGTCCGGGTTTAGGACAACTGAAAGCAAAAAGAATTTACGATGCATTCCACATGCCGTTTTTAAGACAAAAACGACGACTTATTGTGTCACAGAAATTAAAAGAGAAAAATACGCAAAATGAAGTTGTTGAAATACCAGATGAAGATGTTTATGAACAAATTGAACAGATAGATGTGGGAGATGATAGTCATGACTTTTGAATGAAATTATTTGTAAATAAACTATTATTTTTATACTGTTATTGTTAAAAATTAAATTACTGTTACTAATATTTTCTCTTTCTACGCACTATATCTTAATGTGATGAATTATCACTTTTAAGTTTCTTCTTAGTTGTTCCCTGTTTAAGCATATGACCTATGTGTTACGTTACTTACAAAAGTACTTCTGCTAGACTCACACTATATCCACATTGCCATCGAACAAATCTTTATTCTCTTTTATAAGTTAATTATCTTATAAGAGTTTCTAACTTATTGTATGTATACTAGAAAATTTACCCAGCGTTGTCCGGGTTGATATCGATGAGAGGGGAGGTCCCCCTGTGGGTAGAGGTATTGGGAGCGCACATAGCCTACGGTCTTCCTCTGCATAAATGTGGACCCCATGCAACATTTGGTTGCTCTTTTGTATAGCATAACAATCAAACAGACAAACAAACATTTTATATTATAGTATAGGAGATTTCCTGTTTCTTCCCTCGGCTTCTCGTAAATAAGGGGTGAAAAATTCAGAAATTCAGAAGAAGTTTTTGTTCTACTTTTTTGTGCTAGTTGGATAGAGCTCATCGTGTTACCCAGAAAAAATTTGATTTTAGGTTTTCGGAAGATATTTTTTGTTGAAAAAATGTTGATTTTTAGAATAATGGACGAAAATGAGGAAATGTTTTTATGTTTGACCATTGTTTAAAATTCTATAACCATTTTTTTCTTTTTTCCATTCAAAACTGACGAGGGAACCTCTCGAGGTGATTAAAAGCTTTTCGACTCAGACTATTTTCATCATGTAGGGAATAGTCAGTAGTGAAAAACCCCAAGTTGATTTGGGCCCATACGCCTTTTTGATGGAGATATGAGTTAATTAATGAAAATGCCATTAATAATAATTAATTAATAGCTCACGACCATGATCAGCTAGGAGTCGGAAATTTACACCACAGTTGAAGATAGATGTTGTCTAC